ACAGTCTGTGATGGTTTGGGGTGCAATGTCATCTGCTGGTGTTGGTCCATTGTGTTATTTGAAAACCAAAGTCACTGCACCCGTTTACCAAGAAATTTTGGAGCACTTCATGCTTCCTTCTGCTGACCAGCTTTTTGATTAATCGCAGACAATCATGCGATTAATCGCGATTTTTAAAAATGTAATCGTTGCCCAGCACTTTTTGAAGATGCTGATTTCATTTTCCATCAGGATTTGGCACCTGCCCACACTGCCAATATTGAGATGCACCTGTGTGTGTGTGTGTGTGTATATATATATATATATATATATATATATATAAAACTTTATTTTAATTATAATTTGATAATTTCTCTCTCAGTGGGGAAAGTGCAGAGAGCCCTGATGTTGGCCATTCTGGACCTTCTGAAGCTCCACCTGCTGTCATTCCATCACAAGGTGATCTCCTAGGTGACTTGCTGAACCTGGATCTGGCCCCACCCACTGTCACTGTCCCTTCAGTGCAGCCCTCAATGCAGATGGGAGCCATGGACCTACTGGGAGGAGGTCTGGATAGTCTGGTATGTTCCTCTCGTGCCGCCTCTCACTTTGCTACAAACATAATCAGCCCTCAGTGGTGAAATTAGATTAACTTATAGAAAAATGGTGTAATTACTAGAATTAATATACCCATCTGTTATTTTAACAATCTGTGTGTGCGTATACATGCAAGCTTTACGGTAGTGTGTTGAGTTAGCGTTGACCTGAAAAGGATCCAGACCTACTTCAATAAATCGAGATCATCTAAGTGGATTCTGATCCCAGATCAGCCCCCTCCTCCTTAAAAACACATCCAAAGTCCCTTAACCAGTGTAATTGTGTCTTGAGAAATCACAGATGGTCTTGCATAATTACAGTTAACTTTCCTTGCCTGCATTTCCCCTCTGGTCTTCTTTCACTTTTTTTTTTTACTCTTGGTTTTTTTTCTTTCTTTCTTTTTTTCCCTCTCTCTTATCCTTACGCTACACTTGCAGATGGGCGATGAATCAGATACGGTAATTAAACTAAGTGAAAGAGGAAGCAGACACTTTCATATCATGCCATTGAATTAGGCTAAAATGGGGATCTGTTAGTATGTGTATCCGATGTACTCATCACACCAGCAGAGGGCTGCTTCAGCTACTGCAGTCTACCTTGTACATTTACAGCCCCAACATTTTTATTTACAACCACTTGCAACTAGTGTTGACATCAGTAAAATATGTTTATTTTGTCATTCCACATCTTGTATAAACAGTCCTGGGCTTGCTGCAACCACATGTTATTTTTTTAGGGAGTTGTGTCAATATTTTTAGCAACTGTAAAGTTTTAGAAATCCCCACCATCATTCCCCTCATTTCTTCTGCTTTCATCCATTGGAAACATTTCATCCATTTCTCATTCCTGTATCAGCCGGGTGGCAGGACTGAGGTGCAGTCTCCCCAACCATCTTCTGATTATAGTGAGAGAGAGGTCTGTGTGGGTGTTCTCACCTTTTGCGTTCATCCTTAAAAAGTTCTTCTGTACTGATTTTAGAGTAGTCCCTGTTGCCCAACATAAACTGGTTTTAGATCAGTATGAAGGAATCATAAGAGCACCTTTCCTCCTTTTTGTTTCAGTGTTTGAGTTTGTAGCATTAGTTGTAGTCACACACAAGTAGGCACGTCTCATACAGAATGTTTAGTATGTTGAAAGAAGGGGCGGGCAAAATATGACTAAATTTTTCATGATACAAGTAATTTTTTGTCACAATAATTCTATATGTATTTCACAGAAAAGTTATTTTATTTTATCTTTGTTATTAGAAATAAGTTTTTTTCAGGTGCAGTATGTCTGTTTAACAATAGCATTCAAGTAAGAAATACTAAAAAAAAAAGAATAATCGAATGTAAAATAAAACACTAATATATTAATAAAATAGCAAAATCTTTATCGATTGACACTTCATATTGCCCAACCCTGGTTGAGCTTAAAAAGCCTAAAGAAACTGTTAATAGGACGTCTCACAACTGCCTTAGCAGCTGATTGACTTGTTTTCACCCACTGAGCTAGTTCCCCCTTCATCAACCTCTTTATAATTATCCGCATCTTTCCTGCCTACTGATCCTTACACTCATTTTTTGTCCTCCCTCTGTTCACAGCTGGGAGGAGACATCGGCGGAAGTCCTTCGGTAAGATGGAGAAAGATTTTTAGCAAATTTCACCCAGACTTTGATGAATGTGCTTCATTGGAGGAGTATTAGCATCAACAGAGGGTTTGCCTTCATTAATCAAAGAGCTGTTAAATTACTCCTACACATTTTTTTTTATCTTAGTTAATTTGTCTTTTTCGTGATGGTCTTGTAACAGTCTGGGAAAGTTGTAATAGGTTGTAATACTCATCTCCCTCTGCTCAGATGGGTGCCGGTTTGGGGGCGGCCCCAGCAGCCATGCCTGCCTCTCTCGGCAGTGCTCCTACTGTTGGAGGTGGATTGGGAGACCTTTTTGACCTTGGTGGAGGTGTTGGCATGCCAACAGGATCCTACGTTGCTCCCAAAACTGTAAGTATAGAATCAATCAATACTCTTAAGCTGGGGACACACTACACGACTAGCTGAAACATTCTAAGATTGACCTCAACACACTTAACGACTGTTTCAATCGACTGGAACAGATTTTAGTCTTTGACAATCGGAAAGGAGCACAAACCTAATGACTGAGTCACTCCACTACATAACACACTTAACGACTGGACAAATTCTGCCAAACCTAAAAACAACTCTCAAAAACCGCAGCATCTACCAGCGCTCCCGCAGCCGCTCCCGCCCCACAATACAGCGGACAACGCCGGTGAGCTTTTACCTATTGAAACGTTAAGGTCTGTTTTACTTTTCTTATGTGCTTAATTTAACAGAAAATATTAGGTTTTTTTCTGCTATGTTAGTGATCCTAATGAGTGTCACAGCAATGTGTTTTGAATATGTTTTGCGTTAAGTCCGATGCTACTCTTTCCTTTTGGAATTATTGAGTGAGTAGACACATTTCATTATGTATTTTCAAATGCCTATGCCTATGTTTAATTCCCTTAATTATAAAATTTCTAGTGCTATTTTTAAACCTTTAGGCAAGCAATAATTTATTAATTATCTCATGTATGTCTAAAATCAGGGATTAAAAATGAACTGGTTCTAAGTAAAAAAAAATGTAAAAAAAAGGTAGGTAAATTTTTTTTCGTTACATTACTCGAGTTTGGCTACCAGTTAGAACGAAATAAAACATAACTTAATAAATTCAAGGCACTCTAATTTCCATATCCATTTGACACAAAACTATTATATATAATTAATATATTTATAAAGTAATTTTATCTCGTCATGTTCGTGATTTACGATTAAGGCTTCCTATATTCGTTATGAAGAAAATTCGTTAGCCACTATAAAATTCTTCATAACAAATTTTAAGAAGTTAGAAGTTGAGAAAAAATTTAATTAGCCTGTAGATAGGCCTATAGGCTAATTCTATTTTTTCTTAACTTTTATTAGAATGCAGATTGAAATAAAATAATTCTTGATAATCTTTAAAATTAGAGAAATCACTGACATAATTTAGGCTATAATTTTCTTCGACTGCAGAGAAAACAAAACTTTTATTCGCAGTGTTAACGAATTAAAAGAAAGTCAAGAAATAAATAACAAAAACCTCAGAGATTTTTCTTGTAATCAAGAAGAAAATGACAAAATTACAAAACAAATGCTGAATGATGTTTGACAGTGCACGCAGCTCCTCTGTATAGATGCAATCGCAGGTGTCAGTCGCAAATATTAAACATGTTTAAAAAAATATTTGTGAAAACCACTGGCAACGACTGGTTCTTGAATTCTAAGATTATAATCTTTAGATACCACACACTATGCAACTTTTTCTGCTGACTGCAAACAGCGACTGAGCCCAACTGGAACAGACCCGGTCCGACTGGGCACGATCCGTCATCAAGACCAAATTCCATTCATAATCGGCCTGACAGTCGTGTAGTGTGTTCTCGGCTTTAATCAATAACTTTGGTTATGTCTTCAGCAGGCTTTTTTATGAGCAGGTTCACCGCCTTTTTAAGTCAATTTTTAATATGGCAACGTTTCCTGGACTCTTAAGTGGGGTGTGCACATAGAACATGCTGTGGTGTTCAATAATGGACTCTCCAGTCCAACAGAATGCAGAGCACATTTTTAATTGTAAAAAAATGTCTTAGAAATGCAACTCTCATAGAATGAGATGCTTAAAAAAGCACCAAGGCGCAATGTACAGAAATATTGAGACAACAAAAGCCACAGACGTGTGTGTGCCCCAAACTCTCTTTCTTTACCCCACACTCTCAACCTGTTTATCTGTGGGTTCAGGTGTGGTTACTGGCAATGAAGGCTAAAGGGCTGGAGATTTCTGGGACGTTTGCTAGACGTGGTGGGATCATTCAGATGGATCTGTCTCTTACCAACAAAGCCATGAGTGTTATGACTGACTTCGCCATTCAGTTCAACAGGAACAGGTGAGTCCAGTGGCAGAACGGGAGACTGTTTTGGAGGTCTCTTCAAGGTTTTGCTGTTCTCTCTGCGGTATCTTCGCCGCTTGCTAATCAGTTTGGAGGCCTGCCTGGAAAACGTAGCATTCATTTATACTGTTTTGTCAGTGGGATCATTCAAGGACATGCTGATATTCTAAAGAGACTTAAATGTGTTTTCATGTCAATTGATGTCTTCGGTCTAGAAAATTACCTCTCGTTTAGTAAAGCCTGAAAGTAGAATGTTGTAATATATTCTACTTAAATCTTACAATACAAGGGCAACAAGGAGGTCATATTCTTATGTATGTATAGATTTATAGAATGGTGCTTTCTCACACAAATCTCGCAGCCACAATGATAGGCTGTTGTTAGTGTTGCTATCCAATTGCTAAGGCGACTTAGTGGCCCAATCGAAAGTGCACACCTCAAAGTCTCTGTGATATTCTTGTCTTGTTCCTAGGCCCTTCTGTTTGTAAACATGCAACAAATGTACAGATTGCAAAAAAAATATATAAAAATCGAATCCTGAGCCAAATATTGATTGTGTCTTAACTGGTGATGCAACCAAAAATATTTGTCCGAAACTGTTTTGGAGGGCAAACTCATTGACCAAAACTTCTCTAATGACACATTTTGACTGTGACTATTTCGCAGCATGGATTAGCTACAGCAAGTAAACATATCATCAGTCATCAAATATCACCATGACCAAAAATGATGCTAGAGTATGTAAAATGTGTTTGGCTGAAATATTGAGAGATGGCTCATTGCAGAAGAAGTTCACCTGTGAATATGACATACGAATAAGCATACAAATTAAATTACCCACATTTAAATGCAGAAACATTATTTTTGGCTAAATAAAAACTTTAAGATGCAAAATTTTTTATTGCATCAGTAGTCTTAACTGAATTTCTCTGTTTTTCTGTAGTTTTGGTCTCGCCCCTGCTGGCCCTATGCAGGTTCTGACTCCTCTGAGCCCCAATCAGACCATTGACGTTAGTCTCCCTCTCAGCATGAGTGGCCCTGTCATGAAAATGGAACCTCTCAACAATCTGCAGGTAATATATCCACCGCATTTTTCAGCAGCATTATATTTCACGTGCAGTATGAATGATGAGTGTGTATGTATGAGTGTTGTGCTGCTAAAAGGGTCATGAACTGAGAAATCCAAATTCTCTTGATCTTTTGACATATAAGAGGTCATTGTACAGTCATGGCCAAAAGTTTTGGCAGTGACATAAATTTTGTGTTTTGCAAAGTTTGCTGCTTCAATATTTGTATTATTTTTTCACACGTTTCTATGGTATACTGGAAAAACAATGATAAGCATATCATAAGTTTTAAAGGCTTTTATTGGCAAAAAAATATAATGAGACAATATTTACAGTGTTGACCGTTGTTCTTCATAACCTCTGCAATTCGCTCTGGCATGCTGGATATTAGCTTCTGGGCCAAATCCTGACTGATGGCGATCCATTCTTGCCTTATTAGTTCTCGGAGTTGATCACAATTTGGGGGCTTCTGCTTGTCCACTCGCCTTTTGAGGATTGACCACACGTTCTCTATGGGATTGATGCCTGGCCACGGATCCAAAATTTCAATGTAATGATCTTCGAGCCACTTCTTTATCACTCTTGCTTTGTGACATGGTGCTCCATCATGCTGGAAAATGCACGGATCATCACCAAATTGCTCTTTCAGGACATCTTGATATCATTCTTTATTCATGGCAGTGTTTTA